AACACATGAGCCATGTTGCATATCTGAAGAAGTAGCAACGTTTAGAAGAACATTCCACCCTTGGAGCTTGGGCTGTAAATGGATCGGGTATGCCTATATCCGATTGATCAGATAAGAAAATTATCCGATCCGATAATCCAACGGATATTTGATGGTTAAATCCATATCCAATTTGCTATGTTATTGGATATCTGATCCGATAATTCGGTTCGAAATTAATAAAAATTAGGAAAAAATAATAATGTTCTTTAAAAAACTTGGAACTGAAAATCGAGTGACCCCGCAATATTCATTACGCGGAATCAGTTTGACGCTTCGTAGAATCAGGTAGCAACCCTTGTCAGCATACTCCATAACCTTATTAGCTATTACATTCTGGGATGAGTGAAATGCCTTAGCGCCAGCACCAAGAGTGACCTCCTTGACATCAGGACTTTCTGCGGGAGTTGTGCTGCTGTGCCAGATCTGTAAAAGATCTGGCACAGCCATGTGAGATAGAGTGGGTGGGTGTTTTAACATTTTTGGGGGGTTTTTTTAATGAGTTAGGTCCTCGGGACCCACCTCATGTGAGATAGTCTGTACAAAATCTGTGAACCAAAGTCTGGTAGAGTAGNAAAATCTGGTAGAGTAGAATAATCCAAGTTTAAAAGCTACTCTCAACAAAAGGTGGTAAAAGGTGGAAACAAATTTTATCCCCAATTATAACAAATTAATTCTCTCTTTTGATTTTCTTTTACTCTCACTATGTTGTAATCTTGAGTGATTTCTACTATGATGAGTTGTATTCTTGTGTGAACGATTGCTCGAGTGAAGGTTGAGTTCTTTTGTGATATACGGGTGTAGTCCGAGTGTCCAAAACCTTGTAATATTTACCTTGGTTGTATTTTCATTCTAACGGTGGCTATTTCCTCGGTGAGTGGTTGAGGCACTGGTGTTTGGATTATTGTTTTAGGGCAACTATTAATGAGTATCTCTTTCTTTACAGTTCATTTTGTTCGTTTATTGTGCTATATTTTTGTTGTTCTTGAGCTAACCGGTTGAATCTCCTCCTAATGATACTCATTTGCTTAATCTGTTGCTGCTGATATTCCATGGAGCCAACTCTATTTCTCATTAGCTTCTAATGGCCTTTTTCTCCATATCTTTTTGTGAGAAGAAAAAACATGGACTAATTTGGTTATTGTGAGGATGATTACATACGAAAGGCTGCTGAAAATGGACCTTACATGACAACTTACTCAGCTCGTGAGGTTATTAAATGAATCTATAGTCTTTAGTTCCTATAAATTACCAATTTCCTTCATTCGTAAACGGATTAACGTATTGAGGTGGACTACTTTTCTCCAGATTACTTGAGGGTGTTTGATCATAGACAAATGTTACCTATATAAATGAAGTTTTAAGTTCAAAGGGGTTGAATACGACTAGCGATTTTTCAACCCATTGGTTTACCACCTAATGCTTCCTTGCGTATACAAGCTTCAGAAAGAAAAGAAGGAGAAGATTCCATCATTCCTGTTATTTCACATTTTTGAAAAAATATGGTCATAAAAGCTCATTTCCTCTCATATTTTCGACTAAACAGCATCATTACACCCCTTTTATGGCCACCTCCAACGTTCTTAATAAAGTTTTGTTGTATAGAAAGGATTTAATATTTTTTAAATCAAAATTGTGTTGCTAAATTTGAGATGTTCAACTTGCTACCAGCCTTTTCATGTGGGATGTGTAGAGGGGAATGAGGGCTTTTTGGTGATGTGTAGATTCGACGGTTTGGACATTGGTGTCGACGACAGAGATGTTGATTTCTACAAATTCGTTGATTTTGATTTTCTATTTGGGTTTCATTTGGTAGTGGAGAAAATGGTAGCGAAGGTGGTGGTGACTGTAGATTTGGTGGCGACGATTTGGTTTTGGGTGGGGTTTGAGGGTGGGCGTGAATGTGTGTTGGGGAAAAATATAATCGACGGTGGTGTCGATCGATGTTGGTGGCTGATCTTCAAGTGTGGGGTATCGGTTGGGGGTGAAGAATAAACCATTTTTTTCCTTTGGTTTTTATTTATTTAATTAGATAATTTTAAATTTATCATTTTGGCCCTTTAATTAGGTTAAAATTAATCAAATTTTGACTTTCTTGGTCTACTAACAGTCAAATGGACGTTGGATTCCAGCTGCATATTTATGAAAAATTAGGGACCTTCGTTGGCACAAAATAAAGGTTAGGATATAATCTGTGAAAATTAAAAATATTAGGGACTACTATTGCAATTTTCCCGTTCAATTAATGACAAAAATCCATTTATACAAGTCTCCAAGCTGAAAGAAGAAATCAATTTATGGGGAAGTGAACCAAAACCTGACATGGCCCATAACTTAAACACCTAACCCGTACCCGGAATATAAATAATGACTCGTTGCGTGTAGCACAATACTTGGACCGAACATTGTTTGTCAATCGGGCAGATTATGATGTCACAGTCTC